ACAGGTGATTCTCTGTTTAATTTTAGTTGGACATCTAGTTTACTGGTAAGTTCTTTACTATCATTGATTGTAGGTACAGTAGTAGGTCTAACTCAACTAAGAATTAAAAGATTGTTTGCCTACAGTACTATATCACATGTAGGGTTTATCTTGCTTGCACTAAGTATAAACAGTATAGAGTCTATACAAGCCTTTATATTCTACCTAATGCAGTACTCTATTAGTAATTTAAATGCTTTTATCATCTTAATTAGTATGGGTTTTTCTCTTTTCTATTACGTAAATGAGAGCAATGAATACAAACAACTTGATGATAAAAATAATTCACCTGTACAATTAATAAGTCAACTTAAAGGTTATTTTGAGTTAAACCCTTTATTAGCTTTAAGTTTAACTATTACAATCTTTTCTTTTGCAGGTATTCCACCTCTTATGGGTTTCTTTGCAAAACAAATGGTACTGAGTGCTGCTTTAGACAGTGGCTATATTTTTCTTGCTCTAGTTGCTATATTAACTAGTGTTATTGGTGGTGTTTACTACTTAAATATTATTAAACAAATGTTCTTTGATGCACCTGAACATACCATTAATAAAGAAACTGCCGATCTTATTTTACACGGTAACATCTTAAACCAGGTTAATATAGTTGAAAATATAATATTTAAAGCTAATAGTATTGTATTATCTAGTTATTTGACAATTACTATATCTGTATTAACTTTAACAATACTGTTATTTATATTTATACCACATGAATGATTAAGTTTAGCTAATATTTTAGCTTTAATATTATTCAATCAGTAAATGACAAGTACTACATTCTTTTTTGTATTTATACCCTTATTAGCTGTTATTTTATTAGCTATTAATTTAATATTTGCCCCGCATAACCCATACCAAGAAAAAGATAATGTCTTTGAGTGTGGTTTTCACTCTTTCTTAGGTCAAAACAGGACACAATTCAGCATTTCTTTTTTTATATTTGCTTTACTGTTTCTATTGTTTGATTTAGAAATTCTGTTAGTATATCCTTACGTAGTTAGTGCACACACGAATGGTATATATGGGTTAGCTATAATGTTAATATTTTTTTTAGCATTAACATTAGGTTTTGCATTTGAGTTAGGTAAAAATGCACTTAAAATTGATAGTAGACAAATGGTTAAATTAATCCATAACAGGTTTAATAGTACTACTCATTTATCTAGCGTACTAGGAGGTTTAGCTTTTTTAAAAGCTACACCTAGGTATTTCTCAACATGTAGGTCTCTAGCATTACCCTTACCAAGCTCAGCAGAGGTAAATAGTGATAACACTTACTTACCAACCTCATCAGAGGTAAACGATAGTGAGAATTTACCCTTACCTACCTCCGCAGAGGTAAACGATAGTGAGAATTTACCCTTACCTACCTCCGCAGAGGAAGACGAACGTGATAACTCACCCTCTAGTTCAGAACCTGAGGAAAACAATGGTAATAACTCCCCCCCTAATTCAGAATCTGAGTCTTTAAACGGATCAGGTTCTTCCGGTGAGTCAGGTTACGGCTCAGACCCCGATGGGGAGTATTATGATGAAGGGGCGGATGCCATGGTATATGCTCCAGTTGAAAACATACCTGAAAGAAATATTAGAGAATATATTACTGCTACAAAAGATATATCACAACACCCTATTGAAGTGGATAACCACCGAGACGACTCGGATAGTGCGGAAGGTCGGCAAGTGTATTATGACCGACATTTCGAATTAAAAGCCGAATTACGGTTACGTAAAACTCAAGGGGTAGTGGTTGATAGTGACAGTGATGATGATGGTAGCTGTGCTACTTGCCATACACCACTACATGCAGGTCCGGATGTTCCGAGTAACAAGCCTAGAGGAGAAGTAGCGAATACTGAAGTAGCGAATACTGATGTAGCGAATACTGA